CAGCAAGTGTATCAAGAACGAGGTGTTCCGTGTATCAGGATCAATGGTTTTGCTAATAATAATAATAATAATAATAATAATAATAATAATAATAATAATAATAATAATAATAATAATAGTATTATATTTGACAGAGACTTCTTTAAGCATCCACTGAAGCTTTCCTTAATCTGAATTTCTATTATCATTATCTTGCTACAAATAATCTGCAAACATTCAGCAACCATTAATTCATAGGTTCTACTCATATAAACATGACAGCTGGTCACTTTCCATTCTGCCCTTTTCTGTCTTGGCTAGCCATGCTTTGTCATTCCGGCCTGACATGAAAGAAATATAAATAAGAATTTTCTTAAGAAAATAGGAAACAGCCCTCCACTCACATGTTCCAGCTGGTAGATCTCCTAGTAAGAGAGACAATGATAGCAAATTTGAGATGAAAGGCTAGGTTCTAGATTTCCCCTCTGACAGTATAAAATAGTAGAACCTCCAATTCTTATGCAAAGCTTCTGTAGCAGTGATCCATCATCATAGTTTTTTAGCATACTTTTCAAGGGGAGAGGTACACCCATGACTCTCATGATTCCTAATAATATATTTCATTCATTTCGGTACATGTTTCAGAGACGAGAGCTGTCACTCTATATATTTTATCAACATAGCTAGTGCACTCCGTGCATACTTACCATGAAAGACGCGTAATCTTCGTCTGGAGTTTGAACGCTAAACGGTCAGGGGTAATGTCCCCCAAAAATGGGTCTGAATTTTATCGATCACAGGTAGTTTTAGATAGTTAAAAGCTCGTTTCTGTACGTCCAGTAGACTTTAGTCCATCTTGAGGCAAAGCGCACATCACACCAGCGACATTCACGAATCAGTAATTTCAAGACAGCCGAAGGGATATTCGGTTTTGCAGACGTTTACAACTAATGGAATCCGTTCTACGTCTTTTCTGTCAATCATAGATTCTCGTTATTATTATAACGAGGTAACTAAGCTGTTCAATTATCATGTTTATTGAATTTTTTGATTAATATAACGATAACGTATTATTTTCACAGTTACGTGATGAGCATCCCGATATTCTTGTCCTTGCGATATACAATAAAAAAATGAGATTGTCATGTGCACGTTGTTGGTGTAAAGCACCAGTTGGACGACTAGAGACAAGTCATTGGATTCGTTTATTGTGTAATTATAGAGGAATATGATGAATACGATGCCCATACACAACAATAGAATACTCTCTATTGACAAACATACTAGAAATGACATTGTTATGCCATGGATTCACACATAAGTGGATTGGTTAGAACTGACAATGAATGAATTGACAAGAGTGATGATGGATGTGATAGTAGCACAGTTTATTCGTGACTGATGCTTTATTTCTATCACTATGGGTAAAGCTTCCATTGAGTGTGTTTTCCCTCACAGTACATCTGAATTATATATATCAGCTTTTTCAGTAGCAACTATTTGGAATGTGGTCACTAATAAAAGGCACTTCACCATGGTTGGAAAAGTAATGATAAAATTTAATTTTCCATAATTGATGAGAGAAACTTGCCAATCAATAACTGCATTGGAAACTGGTCTCTCAGCATTCCAATGTGACTTACATGACAAAAAAAAAATACCTGACTTACATGACTTACAAAAAACTGAAAACTCCTTTTGACCCATAGCTAACTCAATGAAAATTCTGGTCTCTCTCTCACAAAAACTTCTGTTGCATGAGACTGGAAGGTGACAAACCCACTTTCTGGGTTATATGAGAAAACATTGGCCTGTAGCAGTTCATCAGCTATTTGTTCATTGTTAACAAACTCGATGAATGCATCAAAATGGATTTTTTCATTTTTCATCAACTCCTGGATGACAAGCTTGCCAATGACATGATTTCTTTGGCCCTTCATCATTCGAGCCTGGTGAAAGTTGTGACTGACAGTACTGAGTGCAATTTTACGAACCACTAAAAGCAAAATATTAAGTGTGATGACAACATTCACACAATGGTCATGCAACTATTATCAGTGTCCAGATAGTAAATGCTCTCTCACCTTCAAATGTCACACCTTGTTTTATCCTATCACCATATGTCTTGAGATCATGAATCCGGCCACCTACAAGTTGGATGAGTTGATTGGTGACCTCTTCCTCAATACCAAGTTTTTCATGGAGGTAGGTGAATGCCTCTTTATTAGTTAGGTCTCCAATAACAAAGGGTTCTTGATTAGCACATGACCATGATGATCGTTCTAGAGTAGAGCAAAGAAGCCATCAGCAAGAAATAAGATACAGACAAATTATATTAATATCATATAATACTCACGCATCATAATGCATGGTACTGTTCCCTCACTACTAACAAACACAATGACACAACTGCTCTGGTCAGCATAGAGTTTTGCAATGTCCTGCAGATCCTCCAACATGTCCACATTTTTCTGGCCCAGCTTACTTATGTTGTCAAGGATCAAAACTGGAGGTTTGCCATTATTTGCCTTGTATTTTCTAGCTCCTCTTTCAAAGGCATCCAGGACACGAGAGAATCTGGGCTGTTCAGCTATAAAACAAGAAGTGAGTGCAGAGCAAACACCAGTACTTTTTCTTTACAATAACCTTACCAGACTCACTATTGCCTAGAATCTTCCGTTTCAATGATTCAGTGATGGACACATGCTCCTTGAATCCAATAGCATCTGCAAGATTATTAATGAAATTATCCAATACTGGTGGGACATCAACATAAATGACCCCTTTTCCAACATCTCTAGCACACTGCCGGACCACTGTGGTCTTCCCAGTTCCATGGTTTCCAACAATGACATGATAAGTATTAGTATCATCAGAGATCGGCTTGAGAATTTGTCTCAGTTTCTTGATAACAACCTCACGGTTAATCAATTGTTTCTGCTTAACATCAGGTTCTGGACAGGAACCATGTTCAAAGGCATGAAGGAGAATCCTCTCATTCCGACGGTTGTACCAGCTGGCAAAGCCGAGGTCAAATAATACTAAGCAAATCCCAGTGCCAATCCACTTTACAGTCTTCCAAGCAGACTAGCATTGTCAATTTGTAAGTCAGAACACCCTGTCTGCAGGCCGAAAAAAAACATATTGATCACAAGGACAAAAAGGTACAATACCAAATCCGTCTTTACACCCTCTTTTATGTTCTCTTTTACGTTTCTTACTCCAGTTTTCAGGGCATCCGTGGCATCTGAGTAGGTATGGATGTGGCGAGCCTGCAATGCACAACGGTCATGTATAAGCGACGGCCATGTATGTAGCTTGGCCTGTGGGGGCCGAAAACTGTGGAAAAAGAACTCTTGAGCCCTCCTGGTCGCCCTGGTGTACTTGACGAGCATGAGAAAATTGTCAAATGTAATACAAGGACTGGAAAAGTTTACTAGCTAATGTACATTATTCAGATTGTTCATCCAATATACATTCCCTTGACACGTGGAAAACGTATATTACCATAAATAGCAATTCTCTTGGAGTATCCTATATTTTTTACCTACTCTTCGTCATTATAAACATATAATCGAGCATTCCCCCATTCACGTAGATCTATCTCTTCACTTATCAATCGCTCTCGCCTTGTCATTTCCATTATAATTAGTTCTTCTGGCTCAAGATTATCGTTTCGCAAACTCGATTACTTCTGCATTGGATATCATTCTATCTCGGTATATCCTTGATAAGGCTCTATCTTTCTCAGTTATCGTCATAAATTTGTCGGGGTCTTCACCATGATCGATGGCCCATTCTCTTAAACGTTTTTCCCGCTTCTCACAGGGAGGTAGCAATATCTGTTGGGATTATTTTCTTCGTTGCAAGTTTTACTGGGTTGAGAAATGTCGTTTGCAGATAAGCTATTTTCTGAAGAAGCATGTGTACATTATCACTAATTCGATTTCTTTTGCAGAACAGAATACTTCGTATTCAGATTTTTTTGTGGTCTCTAGTGAGTCATGATCATCGCTAGCTTCAATAATCTCAGCTGGCTCTACAGATTTCTTTTTCTGGTTGAGACGACACAATTTCGGGATGTTGAATATCGGAATATACGTCGAATTATTAATTGGTGGGTTATCTTGCGAGTTGTCTGAAAATTCTTCTATATCGCCAACGGATTCGTATAATTTACTTACAATTTGGAACAATCAAGAATACCTTCCATTAATTCGTACCTGCTTTCGTCAACCCCAATTTGTGAAAACTTCTTTCCCGCAACTCTACTAGTTAATGGCTTTTCTCCGTTACCACTACACCATGTAATATAATTCTGGTATAAATTCTCACAGCTTGGTTTATTAATTTGATTCTCAGACCATGACGAGATATGATCAATTATGAATCGAATTGGATTTGGTAAATGCTCTCGCATTGTCTCAACTTTCATTTTAGCAGTAGGAATATCTTGTGAGTTCCAAACTGAAAGATCAAGACTAAGTAAATAAGCCATAACTACACTAGGCGCATCAGGATGTTCTAACACTTTGGCCAAATTCTTAAAATATGCAGTATTGCCCTTACAACGAGAAGATACATCAAAACATACAATGTATCGATGGTTACTTAATACCATAATAATAAATTCGGAATAATCTTTTATGACTTTGGGTTCGAGACCTTTGCGCTCAATTGTTAAGTGATGAGATTTGAGATGGTCATTATATTTATGCCAATCCCCACTACTCATTCCTGTTTCATTCATGACAATTCCTGAATATTACGTGTAATATTAAATCGTCCTAATATTTTTCCAAAATCGGAGGTTTCATAGAAAAGTTCAGATCCTAAAACTCGTTTACCTGTAAAATCGATTAGTAAAGAACGCAATTGATGGGTATGGTAAGAAATCAACATTACGATAAAGAATCAAACCTGGTAACTGCATGATTTATAATTCTTGAATCCCCCAAGTTCGATTATATTAATTTCGTATTTGGCAAGATCTATTTTGGGTGCCATATCAAAGAAAAGACTCTTCCATTTTAAGTATCCATAGTCTCGATGTTGTTTGCACACATGCAACTGTTTGCTTGAATTGCTTCATAACAGGTAAATCCGAAGATATGGATGACGTGCTATAGGATATGAGAATTAAAATAACGCAAATGAGAGAACAATATGCTTATAGGTTTATACTACGTAGAGTAGTTGCAACATAACGAGCTTCGACTGCACGCGTTGTGGCGTCCAACCCCCTGAAATCCGGTTGTGGCGCTCTTACCCCCCAATAATAGGTGTTCTCACAACTTTCTTGAACTTAACGAGACAACACTTTTGTAACATGTCTGAAGAAAAAGTAACCACTGACATTATCACACTAACTCGCCATGTTCTTGATGAGCAACGTAAACACAAAGAAGCGAGTGGCGATCTTACGTTGTTGTTGAATACCATTCAACTGGGATGTAAATTCGTAGCTACCAACGTCAGAAAAGCAAGACTGTTGAATCTAGTTGGATTGGCCGGAGGAGCAACCAATATCTCGGGCGACGAACAGAAAAAATTGGACGTCATTTCCAACGAGATTTTCGTTAATGCTCTTCGTTCTTCTGGAAAAGTGGCTGTCATGGTATCAGAAGAAGACGACGAAGCAATTATAGTCGAGGAAGGCTTGAAAGGAAAGTACTGTGTCGTGTTTGATCCATTAGATGGATCTTCAAATATTGATGCTGGCGTCAACGTTGGTACCATTTTTGGTATTTACAGAGTGGTAAGTATAACTCGCAAGTATAAACGGGCCCGTAATGAACGAAATTAGATAACAAGAAAGAGAATGCTGATTGCACGTGACTTGATGTATTTAATCGTTGATCGAAGGCAAGATTAGACGTTTTCCGTTAACAAATATACACGTTTCGTAGCACGAAGACTCCACCGGCACCATTAAGGATGTGTTGAGGCCTGGGAGAGAAATGGTAATTGCTGGATACTGCATGTATGGTAGTTCGGCCAATTTGGTTATTTCCCTGGGCAATGGTGTTAATGGATATACTCTCGATAATGTGAGCATCGAAATATCTGTCTCTTGTGATTTTTACAAAGCTCTATGCCAAGCAATCCTACTGACTCGTTTTCTATCTTTTGTCCTCTCAAGTCAATTGGAGAATTTATACTCACGCATCCGAACGTAAGTATGCATGCTCATTATTCTCGTTGAACGAATTGACAATGACCTATTATTGTTTCGTTTAGATAAAAATCCCTTCACGCGGCAAAATTTACTCTGTCAACGAGGGTAATGCCTCGTTCTGGTATCCAGCATGCACCGAATACTTCAACTCGCTCAAATTCCCGCCTGGCGGTAAAAACCCATACTCGGCACGTTACATAGGTTCTATGGTTGCTGATGTCCATCGTACTCTTTTGTATGGTGGCATCTTTGCATACCCAGCCGACAAGAAATCAAAGAATGGCAAACTTCGTTTGTTATATGAATGTTTCCCTATGGCATTTCTTGTTGAACAAGCTGGAGGACAAGCTACTACTGGGACTACGAGGGTGCTTGATATTGTGCCTACCGAAATCCATGCTAGAGCTCCCATCTTCTTGGGAAGTAAAGATGATGTCGAAGATCTCAAGAATATTTATGCTAAACACTCTGCTTCATAAGCCCAGCGCTTGTGAATCGCTTGGACCCTTTGTTAAAGTCTAACAAAAATAAAATCCCGTCATTTATTATTATTGTGATCTATTACCGTAGGTCAGGCATTCTTAGAATAATTTTTCCTTCATTTTTTACATGCTCCTTCAGTTTTTGGAATACTCCACTCTTCGCTAATGGTTCTGGCACTGACTTCTTGTTAGTAACAAAGTAATATATGTCCCAATCGGGCACATCTAACAGTTGATCATACTCTGCTAGTTCCTCTTCCGAAAATTCGTACAAATATTTATCAGCAAACGTAGAGAGAATTAAATCCGTCTCGAGGATACCACGTTTTCGTGACTGATAGACCAGCCGAGCTCTTTTCTTCTCAATACCTTCGTTAATTCGTGGGATTGGAAGAATAGCGGGCCCCGAGACGTCCTGATCGATTATATTTTGATGAGATTGGCTAGTTGACTTTTGAGGAATTTCGGCTCCAGTATTCGACGTATGTTGGTATCGATAAATTTGACAGAGACCAGAGATACGTTTAGCTGGAATCTCCTGAGAAATTAGTCTCGAAGACGTAATAAAAGTCCGTACAGAACGCAAACGGAAAGAACGAAGCATTATTGGAGTTTAGAAGTTAGAGGAAAGAAGGCATCGTCCTAATTTGTTATCTTGATGATCGCCGCAATAGCATCTGTTTTTGGATTAAGGATTATTTTATTATTATAATTTATTATTTATACTACTACTTTATTTTCATTCGTCTGTAATGAAGCTCTACTAAGTTTAATTTCCTCCCAAACTACATTCATTCTACGCCAATCTTCTTCAAACTCTCTGTATTTAATTCCATTCCAAAAGTCTTTAAACGAACTCATCATCATCGTTGCATCGGACGAGAGCAGCGAGTGGGACTTTGCAAGTTGAACCTGAGACGTTATGAATTCCTGTAGTGTTTCTGGAGTTGATAAAGGAGATATAGATGAATATGACGATGACGATGGCGGTGGAGATGGCGATGACGATGGCGATGTCAGATTGGCCAATATGAAAAGAAAACCGTAACTAGAAATTGAAATGGGATACTCGATAATTGAGTTGTTGGCACGAGATAGTGTATGCGATAGCAATAAAAGGATCGGAAGATTGATCTCACCCGTAAATTTGTGAGCATCCATAAATCTCCGAATGAATCATGTTCACATCTACTGTTGGTTTCGTCGTGGTAAGAGCTTGTCGGATTAAATCTACTGGCTAAATTTAGGATATTGGTTAAACATGATGTTGGATAACTTCACAAGTTACGTAAATGCTGCTTACATATTTCAAAAACGCCAGACGGGATAGACTTTCAGTTTCTTTTAGTACCCTTCCCTAAGAGAAATGTAATACGATGCAACAAATTAGGCCGGTATGGTAAAAAGCAAAGGAATACTCATATTCTTCGATGATTCTATTGTGTACCAGATTCCGATCCCACTGTAAGCCAACATTGCGTCCCTTACAATATAAAGCTGCCATTGATGCCAAAAGATCTTTTGGATAGTTTGATGCAAAGGACTGTGGTATGTATAGTCCTATGGCAAGGTTTTCATGGTTCAAGACGATATCGTTCATAGTTGAAGAAGACAGACAGACAACCTGATCACCATAGCTACAGTAAGATAAATCAAAATATATTACATCATCGTATTTACCCACAAGTTTTCCAAGTTTATCAAAATTACCTATGAAATGCAACGATCCGCCCGCCAGAGTGTAAAACTCTCTTCACTGCTTCCCTGTACATCTTCGCAGTCTCGTCTGTCTCATCTGACAAGTGCCATAACTCTGCTGTAGCAGCACGAGGCATCTTGGTAATTACTGTCCTAGGTTCATATGTTCCTTGATGTACACCTATACCATATATATAATTATAGAGCTGAAGTAATATCATAACTGCATTGATGTAATATTGTTTATATCACACGAGTTTTTTTCTTTTTCTTTTGTTTTTTGCTGGATTAGACAAACCTGCAAATGAGATAAGGCCAAATGTTTTGTCAACTAAAAAATAACAATAACAATGAACGTCAAGAAATCCAAAGCGGCAACTAAGGACTAACAAATATTGCAACTGTGACCAACCAAGCCAATGATTTTGTACTAATCTGTCCAGTAGTAGCATTGAAACTACACAACCCTTTGAATTGAATAAAGCAAATAAGATGCATATCCATAGATAGATCAAAGACGTTTCTTGCATCGGACATACCTGGCTATGGCCAAGAAGACATACAATATCGCATCTTTTGAATGCACCATCCTTCTTGCTCTGCATTGACTCCCATGCATCCTCAACGCGCTGAGATACTGTTCCATCTGATGAGATTACGTGCTCGTACTTTGTAATAATGTTAACAGAAAAATGTAAGCCCAAGGCTTTTCGGTAAAATCATACGGGATCTTTTTGTCACTTACGAATATGGCATTGGGAACATAGTTTTTAAATTCGATTCGTGCTCGTCTAAGTAGTTCGTCAGATGTCCTTGCGCTATTACTATAAATCGGCCCTATTTGGATACAATCAACATTTCACATTCATAGTGCGCTGCAGGATACATGCTTCGCGAGTCTTACCCCAGCCTGATTCAAGACAATAATTTTTAGTTTTACAAACATGTGAAGACGAAACATGTATCGTATTCATGTCTCTTTACCATGAACTCCGACTAAGAGGATCCTCAAGGTTTCAGGAATATTTCCAATATCACGCAATAAACCTATAATGCCGTTTTTGACTGGGAATATAACTAACCCAGACGTCTTTTGAACAACTTTTACATAGTCCATTCTGACACTTTGCAAGTGAAGAAAGATAATAATAATAGAGATGCCCAACTTCTAAATTCGGTAACAATTGGAAGTGGCTTGGCACAAAATTCCGTTTATGGGGAACGACAAATCTATTAGCCTTTAACGTTAATATTAAGGGGTGGCAAAAAGCACGAGATAGTGCAATATGCAGTAGAAGTCCAAACTCTATCCCCTTGTAACTCGCGACTAGTTGAAAATGAAAACTAGTAATATAGTCACTACAATTCACCGTATCAATATTCTTGTAGCTCTTATAATCGTTCTACTTAATGCTCTTGCTCAACTCAACCCTGCTTTGTTAGCTTATTATTATTTAATTCCAGTTCACGGATTCCATTCTTACATCAATTAAGGCGCACTCAACTCCCTGCGGTAATAAGGCGATTCGATCTTTACTTCATTAACAAGTAATATAATGTGAATAGCGTGACATATTACGGATTGCCTCAACTAAGGATTCGTTTGCAGTTCTGTTACGCATAGTAATAGTGTATTTTACATTTTACTCTTGTTGCAATGGTAACTGGATCAGGATGACATATTGCTTACGGTGGCGAAACAACGGTTTCTTATGATAAATAATACGCTTTTATTCATACGTAATGATGAATGATGACGAATCTAAGGTTAATATTTAATTAATTTATTATCATGTATGCTTAATCTCGATCATTGCGGGGGCCTTGGATTGAACATCGCGTCAATGTAAGGTCGAATCATTTGACCCATGGGTGTTTGTAAAATGTCATCCGGTAGGTCTATAAAAAGCATGGAGTATTAGGCTTGGATAATAAATTGAGACTTGCGATAATAAATTGAGACTTGCAATTAGTTGTTCCATTATCCAACTTACTTGTAATATGAGACGGAATAGATTTACCCACTAAAAACTCACAAACTGCGTTCGAAAAAGTATTACAATTATTGTCCAATAGGTGATATTTATCAAAAGTATATATTTGTCTCAACTCTTCGATATATTCAAAGAATATGTCTTCGGGAATCTCTGTAACACCCATGTCTATTTTTTGGTGTGGTGTTCCCATAATGGTTTGGCCCTGCAGTAATAAAAACAACCAACGATTAACAGATAAGTTAAGCGTAATAACCGTGTGAAAAAACATAACCTTCGGAGATAAACGAATATTGTACCGGTAATTCAGCATTTATTCCATTTCCATAATACCACTCGAATCCATGGACAACGACGGACGTATGCCATATTCCGTCTAAACACCATGCAAAATATATTACAATCACATTCGCACATTCTTCAGCTAGAAAGTATCGCCATTACTACAAACCTAATTGAATACCAACAATTGGTAGAGACATCGTCCTGGCCATGCCATGAGTTAGATCGTAAACGTATAGCTCTACTCGCATCATCGTACCGGATTGGAAATGATAAAGTTCTTTGGGGAGATACAGCAAATATATATGCAAGTTATATTTACATTGCGTAATATTGTATGACGTAAGTATATAGAAACGTAACCAGTGTCACAAAGATGCACTAGCGAAAGTGATCGGGGACGGTCAAAGCTTAGGCCCGCATTTTATTTGAATACAACATTATTAAATATCACACAAATTTAACTTTAAGTGAAAGTACGAAAAAATTGGTGAATTATCCATCCAAGAGAAACTGTTGTTAATCAATCAATGTCGCATTAATCAAATCAAGTATAAGCAAGAAGGAAAATTTGTGACTTGTCTATTTATCTTTACTTTGTAACTTGTCAGCCAAATAACTCAACACGCCACAAATAATTAACCCTATTATGTTCTCGCTCTTTTAACTTCATATTGGGTAACTTTTGTTAACAGCAATTTATGCTTTCCGCTTATCATTCCTATTAAATTTTTAATCCTTATCTAATACTCCATTGTGCAATGACGTTATGTTTAAACACGCCTTTAGCCATCTAATTTTTGACAGAATCTAAGTATGTTTCCGATCAATAGCTTGGAAGCGAAGAATCTTCTGTTCCAGCTGTTCCAGCGACTGATAAATATATTAACGTGATAATCAGCAATCTGCTCATCTTCGCCAGATTAGGCTATGTTTGAGTTATTACTGCAACTTTATTGTTTTCCGACTTTTTACTCGATCTTTTATTTTACTGCAATTTTAACTGCATTTCTTTTACCATATCATCTACTTTTATGTTCACTTGGTTGTAGCAGGTAGTCTGCACACATGAAAATGAACGACCAAAATTCGGATTTTAATAGCTCGTTTCCAGTAACAACTAGACAATCTGCGAGAGTAATCAATGGTGACCACACAGAAGTACTTGTTCTTGGTTTTATAGATAAGATTCTTGTGATTATATCCCAGTACGGATCAATCGGAAGTTTGGTAAGTCGTTCTTCATAGAACACTATGCACAATTCATGTTTTCTAATACAAATTCCCATAGATATACGCAACACTTGAAAAATCCCCTACTGATCTCGCACTGTCTCCGACAACTACAAGTACATCACTTCTTGGCATTTATCCCACGCTGTATCAATTGTATGTGAATGAGATTGCGCAATTGATCAGGAATGAGAATCAAGATGAGCAGAGGGGTATCGTGGTGGGGTTGGCTCTAAAGGAGCGAGCCGAGAACGAGGGAAAGCTAGGCGATACAGAAGTTTTTGAAAGTGCTATGGAAATGATAAAGGAGTGTAAAGTGTGGTAACATATGGAAACGTGATCCGGGAACACAATCACTACTAGAGCAATCGAGTCGCGTTAACGTTAATAATTGTATGGAAGCACTCAAACACCAATATAGCAGGGCAAACAAAGCGGTCATATAATCTGTAGTCGAAATGAATAGATATGGAGATTTATTACATGCAGTTTCCGTTCAATGACTACAATGATTTTACATTGAAACTTCCCTTAGGATTTGAAGTTTACCATCCTTGTTGAGATATAAATAAGGACTTCTCAATCAAAAGCTGTTCTATTATTATTGATAAGGTCTTTCTAATAGTCATAGATTACAGTGCCGTTCACATAAAGAGTAATTCTTTAGAGAGTCAATGAATACAGATAGTTCAGGAAAATACTTAGTCGATACTCCTTTTGCTGCAGCACTAGCTGAAGCACGACACCATCTTCGATTCTCTTTAGTCTCGCATCCTACCGACTTTCGACAAAAGAACCAAACAATCAAGGCAAATTTTGGTTTCTAGTCTTGCATTCATTGTATAGTGAGGCGGAATTTTTAAACTGGGTTTAATAGAGAACTGCTTTTTAAAGTTGCATGGATCCCGTGGAGTCTGAAACTATATTAATATGCTTGTGAAAGTATGTCTTTACCGTTAGTATTAGTTTCCATTCTTATTTAAAGTATTTGATGTTAGATTGTTTGAATTCTGGGTGCTCTCATCAGCTTACCTCTCCCGACAGATTTGGCAAGTAGGTAATTTAAAGGGGAGGTAGGTGCTCATAAATGAAGTAGAAAGAATTCTCATTGTTTGATAAATTATACGTGTCATATAGTAAGATTACTGTTTATGGTACCTCCCCTCTACCTCCCCACTACAGTGATTGCTAATTTTAGCAACTTCGATTGCCAAATCTGATAGGGGAGGTAGGAATTGTATTTGTAGTACAATTATTATTAATGACGCGTATTTCTTTATGTTACATCTTTTATTGACCGCCGTTTTTTCTTAACACACTGTACATAAGACGTACCCTGATTCCATAAAAGTGAACTCGGATAGTTCATTAGTCCAACCACCGAGTCTTCTCGATTTCTGAACGCGCGTAAGAGTGGTTGATGATCGGTGTAGATTGTCCCCAAACATATGGTCGAAACCATTTTTTTTTAATTGCTTCTTTCACGACTTACCCTTCTAGGTCAACAAGTTCTTGGGTTAGGTATAAACGTAGGGACGGTTGGATTTCGTTTTATCGGTAATTAGGTTTTTATTAAAGAACAAGAGTTAGAAACTCATTTATAGAACCAAAACCGTTTTGAACCTTACGGCTGGATATTTTCAGCTGTGAGGAAGGTCGTTTTTATAACGATAAGTAATAATTCGGACTTGTAAATCGAACGCCAAAGTGTCATGTATGGGGAATGACGCAGTCAAACTAGGGAATTCCATAGATAAGACGGCATAGAGACTAGTGATGTGATTGTCTGTGGACTTCTTATTCAAGGCGAGCAAACCACGATACGGATCGAAAGAAGATTGGTAGGAAAGGGGATGGGATTTTAGGTTGAAAGGTGATAGATTAGAATTGGGTGCGATCGAAGCGGGGAAAATAAGAATGGGAAAAAATACATCAATGACAGCTTAAAACTAAGCAAAATGCTTAGAGATATGCTGGTGATGTTTATAACGGCTTGCAATGACAATGAACAGATCGCCAGACAACTACAGGTCCTTGGAATATTACATAGCTTGTATGCTATGGATCTTAAATATCACGGCATATATTGAATGATTCGTTTGGGTCTTCTTTAATGATTTTGGTGTGTTCCCTCATGCCACTAAAGCGAGGTCAGAGTTCTTGGATGATTATTCTATACGTTATGACGTTCAATATTGAACTTTGTTTTTATTATTATTATTATTATTGAAGAAAATTGTGGTTCAGACTGCTAAGTATAAGTTTGTGCCAGAAGTTTCCATGAAATCAACATCAGCAAACACAATGTTACAATGGATAATGAATCACCCAAAACGCCACCTCGTAAGAAGGTGACTTGGCCTTCATATCACACCCCCATGAAGGTCCCGCTTCTCTGAAGAGAATTAGTCGAGCTAATACGTAGTGATAGAGAAAAAGAATAGTGAATAGAATCTATACTTATATGAGTGTCAAGACTGAAAGGACTATCTAGTGAGCGAGTAGAAAGGGAATAAGAGACATTCAGTTGAGAAATATAAAGTGAATCGCGTTCGTGTTAGTATATGACAGATTAATAAGGAATACTTTTTCCATTGCTATAATAATAACCAGATTAGATTGTAATATTACCATCCGTGATACTGTCTTCGCTGTTTCTTCTATCTGATCGATAGGTTAATAAGTATTAGGGTTCGTATTCCATAAAAAAAGCAGAAAATGCCCAATGGTTCTTTAGACAAAAGGTGAACATGATAATCTTATAACTATCTCCGGAAACTATACGCAGATATTCAGCACATAATGCAGGTTTATAAATAATTACTTGGCCTGCATTCAAGTCTTGTTTTATTAGATGCTTGGAAATACGGGATTATTGGACCAAATTAGAAATTTCTACCGAGCGGACACGCGTAGATTGCGAATATATGATATCGCGCAGGCAATTAACTCTTACTGTTATGTCACGTGATCAATGATGTCTATTGCAAGGAGCAATACTGACGGGGAGAAGTTAAGGTCAAATTTCAATTTCTTTCCCATCAGTCCATCAATTATGAGTCACAAATTAACAAAACACTCTCACTTGCAAAAAAAGAGTCTATACCCACTAAAATTTTCTGTTCATACAAGTAACTTTAGTTTGCTATTATTTTATACATCTTAACCCTTGCTTACAGAGCCTTGATATGTAGGATCTGCAATAAAGTAATAGTAATCAACGATGCAGTTAAGTAAATGATATGGAAATACCTTTCTGTTGTTTGTAAACTCACCTTGACTAGGATACACAATATTACTGTCAGTACTGCTCTCAGCACCAGGTGGAGCAGGTATTTCCAAGCTCTCCAATGGTGGCAACACTAACGGCTCTGTTGTCTGCATTGTTGCTTGTACTTCTGCCTTTGGTCCAGTGGGGCGCGGACGGCCCCAAGCGATTCGTAGAGGATGGCCTTTGAGGATGAGGTTGTTCACCGATCGATCGATGGCTAATTCTGCTGCTGCTCTCGTTGCATAATTTATAAATGCACAATGGGACTTGTGAACCACCACTACGGACTTTATCTCTCCAAACGCATAAAAGTGGCCTCTGGAGATAAGACGCACCAGAGGATGGACCGAGGTGAGTATTATTCGATATAGAAGAGTGATTAAGGCTTTGATTTCACTATTTACCTGAGATCTGTCTCTGTAATGTCCTCTTCAATGCCCGTTATAAACAATGAAGTCTACAATAAGATCAATAAACACAGTGAGCACGTAGAAACACAATAAAAATTCCAACCGAACAATGTAATTTCACACACAATGGTTTTATCCTCGGGAGGTTCAACATTATTGTTCGATGAGCCGCCTTTGAACCTATTCAATATCTTCTTTGCAACAGGGTCATTAGTTCCATAATATCGATCTTTGATATTTTGATGCGAAAGTTCATTCTCTTCTGGCACTTCATGTCTATAGTAATTGAGAACTAAGTTAGTTTTAAATAAGCCAATTTATGATCTAATTTGTTTAGAGATAAAATCCATTAATATATAATTCAACCAAGCGTCGTAGACTAACTCATTTCAACTAAAAAAAATCGATCTATTTGTTTCTACTTGATTTACCTGTACGGACATTCATCTCCACGCTTACATGTACCTTTGACGAAAAATGAACATATATGTGGCCTATTTCTTTTATAATATGGCTCGGTTCTCGCCAATCTTTTTAATAGCTCCTTCCCGGCCGAATCGGCTTTATGGTAAGATATAAGACTGTCACCGTTCGTTATCTACAGGAACGCACAAGTAATCGATTAAATCAGACGTGTGTCTACACGGAGCAAAAGTCCTTTCCCTGTAATTGTCGAGTTGCCTTCTTTAACCCTATATTTACAGCAGTTTCTCATTGCTTACCCTTCCTTCGACGTTCTGTGCAAAATACTCTCGATTAATTTCTGATCTAGGTGCATCATTGGCAATGCCAAGTGCTGTATCTCGAACTTGTACTGGGAGATTATAATGTAGATCAAGCAAACACGTTTGGCAGACGTTTTTTAGTTTAGCGCAGGTTTGGCAGATTTCTGTTTTCTTGTATCGCATTCCACTGCCTGGCATCCAGCGGAAGACTGTGAATGGACGAGTACAGACCTTTGATTATAAAATAAATTTATTATTATTAAAATCATAGCACAAATCGATTTAGACACCAAGTCATCACTTGACATTTACAAGACATCAATACATACTTTACATTCCTTGCCATACACTTGTTTTGTCTGAATACGTAACCGCTAGATTTAGTATTTTCTCTCAAAATAAGCCAGCGATTCAATTTTACAGAAAGTTATTACTAACCATTCTCACGTATGGGTTGTTACCCAGACAAGTTTCGCATAAGATCGGAAACTCCTAAATGCACATTACATATAAGTTCAAACTCGACATCTATAACTCTTATCCAGTTGCAACAGGCCTTACCGATTCCTCCCATCCTTGCTTTGTAGGATCAGCTTTAGCTGCCATGAATGTTAATATTAATGGTTAAAAGGTTTAGAAAATCTTGTTAGCCTTGATCAGACGTTGAATACTAATGCTGGTTTTGCAAAATTTATTTCGACATGGCAATGGTGCATGCGCCACCAATGTTTGAATCACGTGAATTTGTTTGAGTAACTACCAGTCATGGGAAATGGATTTTCATAAGTATTTTTTGGTGTAACGTGAGATGCAAAGACATTTTTGCGGTAAAATAGCTCCACTGCGACAACATTAAATTGTCTTTGACCTTACACTACTGTCAATGTGTTTAAGTCTAGCCATCTAGCTAACGCATATGAAATACTTGTGCTTAAGTTCGAATTAATGGAAAGAATAAATCGCTTTGCCTTTTTTCTCTATTTCCTTTATTCCTCCACATTTTCCACTTTTTCTTATGCGTATTACAACGAAGCCCAACAACATTGGCACCTCTATATGAATTGAATAACGCATCATTAAATATAAACGACACTTACGCCGGTTAAACCAGCTGAAGATAAACTGCACGGCTCAAAAGGCGTCCGAGAATTGGTAATAAAAAATTACGGTGACAAAAATAAAGTTTCAATATACGGTACAATTATGTACTGCTATCTCTCTTTTCTGGAAGTGTTTCATATTTCAAAACCGGTTCTGCCTTCGTTGACTCTGAGAAGATACGAAATCTATTAACTTGAATTCTCTGAAAAGGGACAAACGCTTGAACTTTGCTTCTATTTTTGTTGAACGTACCAATATGTTATGTAAACAAAAAAACTGTATAATATACTGATTACAACATTTCCTAAGGCCAATGTTTTAGTGTATTGTCAAGCAGTATGTAAAACGTTGTTTAACCTACTCCAGTCTAACGTGTTAATATATTAACTATAAACGCATGAACAGAGAAAAGACAGTTAATGTTATGAGAGTAAGAAAAATTAAATGAATTGCTTCTCTGTTAAATGCGCATACCAAAAAATTATTTGAACACATTACACATTCATTTACTGACACTTTGCGTCGATATTTAAAAAAATGAGATTATCCTTTACTTTTTTAGTATGTGTAACAAACAATAGGTAGTTACAGTATTAACTATGTCTATACTCGACATCACGTGATTTTGTTTCAATTTTCGGTATGCAATGTAATATCGATATAGCATACAGTGTAATGCGGCCAATAAAATTATTATAGTCAAGAAATCATACGCAGTTATCCTACACTTTTAACGTCGCACAGTATATTCCCATATATAGGGTGATCATCATGATTATGACCAGCGAAAATTCCGGTCGTTTGAGTAGTATAA